AATAATAATTATTATTATTATTATTATTATTTAATAATAATATGGCAAACAAGAGCAAAGATAGTACCAATAGTAATAGGTTCCTTGGGTGCAATCCCAAAAAGGTCTAGAGCACCACTTGAAGACCATCGGCATTGACAAAATCACCATCAGTCAATTGCAAAAGTCACCTTTACTTGGAACAGCTTACATTCTGCAACGATACCTTTAAGACCATCAAACAACATCTGCCTATCTCAGGTCCTTGGGAAGGACTCAGTAGGTAGATAAAAATGCCAGATCTAGTCTAAAGATCTGGCTGACTGTACAACCAACCATAATAATAATAATATGATTACAAGTTTCAGTAAATGGAGTGGGGGAGGAAAAAGTATTTGACACAGGGACAAGAGTCCCAGGGAGGTTCATATAATTGTGAAATAACTGTTATTAATGAATTAAATTCCAAATAAAACCATTCTATTCAAACAGTATTTTACTATAGTTATTTCATAACTACTAGACATATGTGCCTCTTAAGGCTAATTAGGAGGTACAGTTGGGAGAGTAGTGAGGTCCTGTCATTTCTTAATTGTGCCCTTGACCACTGAGTAATAAAGATTAGGCCTGAGGCTTTAAGTAAATAAGTTTAGGCCTGAGGTCTTGAATTAAATCAGTAATATAAGAGAAAACTCTGCCCCTGGGGCTCATAGTCATCTCTGGCTCAACTGTTCTGATGTATCTTTGTTTTAGACATTAGCCAAACAATATGTCTTATCTGCATTTTCACTAGTAAGACACCCAAAGAGATAAAGTGGACTAATTCAGTTTTTAAGGGGATATGCCGTTGTTATGTGTTCATCCATTCTTTTTTTATCTGCTTAAAACAAAAACTCTAGTACATGAGAGAGTACAACAAGAAGGGACATTTTATCATGCTTGGTGGACGTGTAAAGAAGCTAAAAAATTTTGGATTCAAATACATACACTGATTCAGAGGATTTTAAAGATGAATATACGATTGAGACCAGAAGTCTTCCTCTTGGGACTGCTGGACAAACAGTTGGAAAAAAGTCAGGGAACTTCTTCTTTTTGTACATGATAACTGCAGCGAGATTATTTTACACACAAAGATGCAAAGATTTGGCAATACCTACAATAGATGGTGAAGATGATAGAACTTGCTGAGATGGCCAAATTGACTTCTTTGATTAGAGAAAAGACAATATCTACGTTTATTGCTGACTGAAAACCCTTTATGGACTTTTTGCATAAAACAAAAAAAGCCCAACCTTATGATTTATGGTTTTAATGATTAGATAGGATAGATTATACAAAGAAGAGAGTCATGATGTAACTTTAGAGAAAGAGGTACATTTATAATTGCACTTATACCTGCTGTAAAGAAGATCAGAAGCCACTTCTTTGTATCTTTTTTTCTTTCTTTTCTATTTTTCTTTTTCTTTCTTGCACTTTTTGCTTTCTCTTTGATTTTTTCTTTTTCTTTTTTCTTCCTTACTTTATTAGTTTGTATTAGTTTTTACATTTGTTTTTAAAACTTTTCATAAAATTATATATAAAAAAAGAGAGAGGGGGTTCTAGCTCAGATTGCTCCTTGTTTGTGCTAGCTGCGCAGATACATTTAGCATGGCACCTCCTCTGGCAAATCAAATATATGATGATAGGCCAGGATTTATTCTGGTCACTTTCCAGCAATATAATAAATGATCCTCAACCAGCCTAGTCTAGTTTATATATTTTAATGTTTGTTTTAATTTATTCACATTTTTTCACCATTTTTAAATATGTTTAAGTTTCCCTAATTCATATTTAACAACCAGGATATTAATGACTGGGTTGGACCTCCCAGTTATGAAGATGGATCAACTAAACCTGTATCAATTAATCCAGACACAACCTGTGGCAATGGCTGGATCTGTGAACATCGGTGGCGTCAAATAAGGTTAGAAAATTTCACAACTCCTACTCCAGCACAAAGATACGCATGCTTCCCAACCTGTCATTCTCCAGCTCAACTGGTCTTCAATTCCCATAATTTCCAGCCAGAATTATGAGCCTCTACATGCAACACATCAAGCTGGGAAAAAGCTAATGTAGATCAAGATTCTAAACAATTATTTTCCCTTCTCTTCTCCAAGAAATATGGTTATTTTCCGCAATGTTGTGAATGGGCAGCCATTTACCAATTGGTGGGACAATAACAGCAATCAAGTGGCATTTGGTCGTGGCAACCAAGGATTTATTGTCTTCAATAATGATGACTGGTAAGTAAAAGAGATTTTTCATATAGGAAGACAGAAATTGTGTTGGAACCTGGGACCACATAGCAGCGTTTCTGAACCAAACGCCTTTCAGTTCTGTGACTACAGATTCCATAAATTCCATTTAGGCTTGCCATTGATTCTTCTGGCTAGAGGATATGGGAGCTGTAGTCCAAGATAACTGGAATGTACTGGGTTTGGAAAGGCTACTATATGTCTCATAAATCAGGTTAGTCAGACTCAGACACTCTCAGGAAGTTGTTTATTTCACTTTGTTTATTTAGTAAAATGACCATTAATTAATTAAATTGGTACGCTACCTGATTCCGAACAACTCTGGGCAGCTTTTAGCTGATCTTTGGGACTGCACTTTTACAAAGTACTGTTGAAAGAAGAGTGTGGTCACACACAACTCACCATAGCGACAGTAGTGTACAAACTACTTTGCAAAGCAGTTGGGGCCCATGAGCCAATTCTTATTATTTCAGTTCAAAACATTCTTAAGCAAAATGTACATGAAAAAAATGAAGTACACATCTATAGGAAGGGATAGAGACACAGTCAAGAAAGCCCAACATAGTGTGCTTTGGGATTTTAAATACTAAAAACCAGCACTTTGATTTAGGACTGGAAAATTGAACACCAATATTGGGCATTGCATTACAAAATATAGTCTCAAAGCAACAAATTAATCTAAGGGGTAAAACAGTATGATATAAAATCACTACATTTGCCTCACTTGAAAACTTTTCTTTATTAATAGGAATCTGACTGCGACTTTGCAGACTGGCCTTCCTGAAGGAATTTACTGTGATATTATATCTGGGCAGAAGGAGGGTAATATCTGTACTGGAATTAAAATCCATGTCCATGGAGATGGCACTGCTTATTTTAACATTAGCAATGATGCTGAGGATCCATTTGTTGCCATTCATGTCAGTGCTAAATTATAATCTCAGTAAGAGAAATGTATTTCAGCAATTTTGCTTTGCGAAATAATTTTGGACAGATGCAGAATAATTTGGACACCTTCAAAAGAATGTTTGTCTTCAGGTAGATTTTCCATTTGCTTTACTGAAAAATTGTCTTTGCCCTTTGTTTTGTTTGTGGGCTTTTGTTACATTTTGCCTGTCATCTCTTACCTCAAATAGCTTCAGGTGGCCAGTCTTGTGACAGAGCATAAAATGTATAAAATAGTCACAATGTTCACTGTCCCATCACATATTGATTTTCATCCCACCAGTAGCTAGCTCTGACCTCTGCAAATTTGGTCTCTCTCTCCCCATATCTTATGCTATATATAAGACTCATCACATAGAATAACCACTATATAGAAGGGGTTTCAGACAATCATCTTCTGGTAACAACCGTGCATGGATTTACCCTAGGTCTAGATTCATTTTTTCCCCAGTTCAATCAACCTACTCTGTTACTTTGCCCTCACAACAAAAGCAGTTGCATAGCAGGAAAAAGAGTGGATCTGTGGAGGCTGCCTCCAAAAAGTGAGTTACTGTTAGCCCTTTGAGGTAGTCCAGAGAAGAAGCACAACCAGGAGTACTAGCTCTATCTTTATTGTAAGGTTTCATTAAAGGAATCTTGAAAGATTGAAAGTATTTCTCCCCTCCTTTTCTTCTACTCTTCAGAAAACCAGGGAGAGTCCCTTCTGAAACATTTCCCACACCCTCCCTCCTTCTGTGGGCTGAGATGTCTTTTGTACAATGGTTGTCCAGTCTGCAGCTTTCCCGCTTGTCTCCTAAGATCATTCCCCCATACCATTACAGTTTCCCACCATCATTGCATAGGGAATGTAGCTTGAGCTGTAGGTAAAGGTTCCCCACATATGCATTGAATCAGTCCTTCCTAGATTTAACTCATGGAGACCCCAGGAGGTAACTAGACCTGGAAGAATGACAATCCTAGCAGTTCAACCTAGCAATGCATTTCTCAGAAACAAAAATAGGAACAAAGTGGGACAGCAAAATAGAAGAGGTTGAACCTGCCTTAAGCAACCAAGCTGATAAGTATGCAGTTGGAGCAATGCCAGGTGTAACAGAGGATGTGAAAATTATTTTCCATTGGGAAACATATGTATTTCTGTAATTATATTACTTAGAGTAAAATACTGTTATATACACTGTTAACAGCTGTACACACACACACACACACGTCACACACATGTCCTTACCATTGCCAAAGACATAAAACATATGTTTAAAAATGCTTGTAATATTAGGAGGTATTACAGAACAACTCTAACTTAATAGCTGTGTTTTGTTTTGTCTTGTTTTGAATTAGTAATATCCAGGATCAGATCTATTTTTTTCTTGGGTTGCAAACCTTGACAATAAATCAGTCACCAAATGAGACCTTTTTGTCTTTTTTTTAAAATCCATGTGTTTATTGTTAAAATATTGAAATACAAAGAAAGTAGAAAAAAGCAAAAAGTTTGCTACATCTGAATTAAACGAACTATAGTGAAAAAAAAGAAAAAGTAAATTACTTTTTAGTGATATATCCTGCCTTTCCCATCCGTTTGTATCCCCAACCACCAGCCACTGTTTAGATATTTGAACTTTGCATCAGTCATTAGTAATTGTTGTTAGTTTCTATTTGAGTTCTTAAAAAAAACATATTCCAGATGTCTAAATCTGCCTTGCTCTGTGATATATTTTATATAAGGGAGCCACTCTTGCTTGAACTTAGCTAAACTTCTATTGTGGATATATTCAGTCAATGTTGTTCTTGCGGCATATTATCCAATTTTAGTCTCCCAGTCTGATACCATAGGCAAGGTATCTCTTTTCCAATGTTGTGCTAGGCTTATTCTTGCTTCAATCTTAGTAAAATTGTAATATTTTTTAATAAATGGTTTCTGGAATTATGCCTAATAGAAATGTCTGTGGTTTCAATTCAAATTTTATTTTTAGATTTTTAATTTTTTTTAATGTATTTCTTTCCAATACCTTTGCATTTTTTGCACAACCACCACACGTGGTAAAATGTTCCTTCTTTGTTATAATATTTCCAACATTTGTCTATCTTAGCAATTGCAAACATACTTATGTATCATCTGTAGAACACTTTGTATCAATTAAATTGTGCCTTGGAGTAAATTTTATTGATTTTTTCCATAGCCCTTCCGATTGGTCCATTGCAATTATTTTTCTCAAATTTTACATCCATTTTATCATACAGTTTTTAATTTGTTCTGACCCTGTGTCATATTTCAGCAACAATTTATAAATACATCTAGTCAATGATCTTGGTTTTGTATAAGCATTTCAAATTCTGTCATCTTTCTCAAAATCCTTCCTTCTTTTTTGAGATTGCTTTTTATTTTTCTGGTTATCTGTAAATGCATTAACCATGGTAAATTAACTGTATGTCCTGATTACTCTGAAATTTGAAATAACCTCTTTGATTCCCGTACATTTGAACAAACAGGGAGATGGAATGTATTTCAAAGACTTGAAAAGTTATCAAAAACTGGGCAGAGATTTGCTATCTGAGCAGCAGAATATAGGATAATGGACCTAGGTGTGAAGAGAGTAGATTTCAGCTGAACCTTGGGTGAAACCTCTTGTAGTGTGGTACTACAAATCCCAGGAGACTTTGCAAAAAGGACTTTAGATGAGGAGTGGGGAGAGTGAGTGTGTGTGTGAGAGAGAGAGAGAGGGAGACAAAATTGGGAACTGAGAGAGTGCCATGTCTATGACTATTATGTAATAAAAATTCCAACTTACTTTGGAGCCTGCATTAAAAACCCTCTAAAAAAGAATACAACACTTCTTAAGCTCAGCTATGGAATTAATGTCTTAGTTCAACAATAGGCAAAGTGGTGCCATGCAAAGCTTTGGACCACAAATCCCACAATGTCTTTCTCTTCACCATGCTTCCTGGGAAGGATGGAAGTTGAAATACAAAGTATCTGGAGCGCTGCGGGTTGCTTATCCCTAACACAGCATTTAGCTGGAGGTCATCAAGCCAAGGCGACATAGCCATCTGTGAGAGATGCTTCAGCTCCAGATCTCTGGCCTGTGAAACACCTCCAGATCTATGATTGTGTAATTCTGTCAGCATACTAGACAAAACACTTGCTGAAACTTTTGAGCTTTTCTTGGTGGACCCTAGTCCTCCTTGGGACAGTAAAATGAGTTCCTGGTATAACAATCTCTTCTCCTGGTTTTCTTCATTTTCTTGAGTGTTTTGTAGCTGGTGATGTGTTTTGCAATATAGAGAATAGTAAGGTAGCTTACATCACAGCTCAGGGACAAAATACCAGCATCCTGGGGACAAGGGTGGGCAGCCTGTTCTGGTGACAGCCAATGAAGAAAGGTTCTCTGCAGACTTACTAGAATGCTAAAAATAATTCCATGCTAAAAATAATTCACAAAGGATAAAAAAAACAAGCTAAAAAAGGCTTGGCTCATGGTGGGCAGCCTGTTCTGGTGACAGCCAATGAAGAAAGGTTCTCTGCAGACTTACTAGAATGCTAAAAATAATTCCATGCTAAAAATAATTCACAAAGGATAAAAAAAACAAGCTAAAAAAGGCTTGGCTCATTGTCCCTCTTCCCCCCAATAAAGGTGTGAAAGGCACACTGATGTTTGTCAGGCTTAAAATAAAGGGGGGCTAATGTAATGGGACCTCATAGGCATTTGCACTCTTTCAAAGTGGAACGTAAAAGAGGACCTTCAAAGATCTTTGATTAGGAAATGGACAGATGGGGAAACCATGCAGCCTGTTTGTTCTTTCTGTCCTTGAATAGAAATTCTGGGAAAAAGAGGAAATGTGTGTGTGTGTGACTCAGCTTGTTTTGGAATGAGATATATGGTACTGCAAGTATGCACAAGTACAAAGTACATAGAGTAAAAATTGGTGACGCAGTATCTTTTTCTTTTTGGAAAATGCCTTCACTGCGTGACTATTATTTAAAGCCGCCACACATTTTTAAGGTTACTGTTAAAAAAAAAAGGGCATTGGGTTTGTTTGTTTTTTCCCTTCCCCAAAGGTTTCTTTATAACGGGTTGGATTTTGCCATACAGTTCTATAACCATCCTTTGAAAAAAGAATCTTTATAACAAGAACATTTCATGGAACCAAACAGGATGCATAAAATACATTTTCTCTTATTGTACCATGCTGGCAATACAGATTCTTTTCCACAAATGTTTATAATACCTTTTGTGCATAGTTTTGTGGGCATTCACCATGTTAGTCTATGCTCCAGAATAGGAGAGTTTTTACAGCATCTCTTTGCTATTCTGACTATAATATTGCAGAACACTTCTCTGATTATCTCCATATAGGTACATAATCCATGTTTGGAAACATTTGAAACTCTAGAATTTTGCCACACTTTGCTTAGCAGAGACTGAAATCATGTAATTCTGAACTGCACATTTTGAAGAACTCATCAGTAACTTTATTTTGAGGTTGGTTTTAATTGAGTGATCTTTTGTTTATAGAGGTTTCCAGGGAGAATAAAAATGTGTACTGTACGTGATTTTGTGCATAGCAAGTATCTTTAAACATGGGCACACGTATGTACATTTATGTTTACACAGACAGATCTTTAACCCAGATCTCTTTTTCCCACTCTTTTTTTAACTCTTACTATGATTGAATTCTGAAAACTTGAGCACCTCTTCTTATGTAGCCAAAATAATAACTTCCAACTCAGGAAGGTTTGCAAAAGGACAGACACTTCTTTGGGGGAGAAACATGTTAATGCAGGTAAATGTGATCAGTGGCCTTAGAATGTTGACTGACTTGTGAAAAAAAAAAGTGAGAGCCGGAAGGGAAATAGAATGGAAGGGTTAAAAAGTTGGTAAAGAAATAGATATTTTATGCTGCATCGCTTTGTTGCAGATCCAACGGCTCAAGTGCCTTCCTTATCAGAAGCACACTAGGGAATTACAAAGGATAGGCCTTTTTCAGGTATAGCCACTGGCTTTGGGATGTAGGAGATCAGTTTAGATGATGCAAAGCTTAATTTTACCTATCCAGAACAGCCTGTCACTGTGACAATCCTTAGGTGACAATATATTCAGGTCTGGGTTCCCCATCTAACAAGAGAGAATTGCTAATTAAACAGATACACTGCAGGGAATGTGTGGAATTTCCTTTTCAAGAGATTCAGATCCTGCAAAGGTAAAAAGAAAGCTAGCTTGACCTGTCCATCCAGGTAACAGGTGGAAACAACTGAAGACTGGGGCAATCCAGCCACATGGAGCCCATCAGGAGAGTGGGTTCCACTTCTCAGGAGGGTTTTTCTCAAGGAGAAGGCAGCTTTCATTTTGTCTTTTTTTGTTTTGTTTTTCTGGGAGGGGGCTACGTTTTTCTCCTTCAAGACTGGATGAAAACAAGGTGAAGGTGAAATTGCTAGGCAGCAGTGGCAGGGCTGGACCTAGTGAATTTGGACAGCAAGCTAAGCTCAATTGTGGTATAGACTGTTTTATCTCATCCGTTGAGATCTGGGCCGTGTGAATTTGTTCTGGCATGTGAGTGCACGAGGGATGCTGGGGCTGA